TTTATCATTTAGTTAATGTGTGAATTTTTAGTTTACATTTTAGTTATTCACATCAATTTAAAATTTTAATTATGAGACCGACACCCGTTTCTTATAGCGGTGACTTACATATTAATGTTGGTAATGAATACATAAATAATGATTACATTATTTCAAATCTCTTTATCTAATTAATTATAGTAACTTTGCTGGTCTTTGGATTTAACTTCCCGTAACCTGAATCGCAGCAGAAGGTATAGAAGCTGAAGATCTGAGAACACTAAGCCTTTTCTTTGTAAGGTATATGTACATAAACTGGGCAGGATTCATGGTGTCAGTATAATGAGATCATTAATAGTAAAGGTACTGAAACTGGTAATTTATACGCAGTGATTAATGTGATCACTTCGGTTTTCAAACGGGGAAGGAATACGAGGTAGCAAATTCTACTTTGATTTCGTTATGGTTTTGTTTTCTGTTCATTTGTTATTCTTTCTATTGTTTAGTTAACCTGTAACATTTGTTTTACATTTAAACGCTACTTCGCATTCTCATCAGTTACGGCATTTAAAGTTTCTAAAAGTTATGAGACTGACACCAGTTTCCATTACCGGTGACTTGCAGATATTAAAGTTGTAAAATTTTTAATTTAATGTTCTGAGTAAAGACTTTATCATGAGTTTCAATGACTTTTCTCACGTGAGATAGCGATGAAGTGATTTTGTTATTCGATGTTTTATACACGTTTTTCTTCCGTTCCTTTTTCTATTTATTTATATAAATATTAAACTGTTATTGATGGTATGTTTTTCTTTCGTGTTAGTGGAAAGTTCTGGCCACTGGCTCATTCATACACTGTATGCAGACTATTTGATAGTTTATAAGGGGTCAAAAAAGGACTTTTTGGAAACAGAATATCCAACATTACCTGGAACCGTAGATGAACGAACAGAAATGTCTAGAAATGTTATACAGAAGGCAATATCCAACGTTGAAAAACATGGGAAGATACAGCGAGAAGCTTAAACCCGTTAGTCAGTTTCGAACAAAATTAAAAGTAGGTAACTCACTACTTTCGTTAAGAATACATCAAATATGTTCTGGAGTGACGCTTACTGAACTTTATTCTAAGACTGAATGAATAGTTGAAAGTTACGGACTTGTGTTTCTCCATTTTTATATAAATTAGGTTATATCGTGTTAATAGGACAATTTTACGTTTCTAAAATGAATTTTTCCAGAATTTTTTTTTTAGACACCAGAAGAATTGTTCATCGTCTTATGTCGTTCCAGAAAATTTAAATGGTACAAGAAGGCTTTTAGATTGCGGCTTCCCTTCCATAAAAATAAAGGACTTATTCTGGTGTGTCCACTTCTCATCCTTCGACGTAACGTGCTGATGAGTCATTTATGTCCTCTGCCTGACGTAAGTGGTTTTTGAACTCGAACACTTCCTGTAAAATGAACTAGAGCAGGAAAGGAGAGAAGATGAAGATTCACGAACATG